TGTCCAGACCCAGCCCTCCGTCACCACGGGCCTGGCCAACGGACGGGCCACCTTCACGCTCACTACCAGTGACCTGCCAGTGACCTGCAAGTGACACGCTGGCTGCATTGCGGCTGCGCAGGCGCCCGTGCCGATCCTGCGTGGCCGCCCGCCCCCGGCTGCGCTCACTCGGCTCTGGCCCCCGACACCCGCACCTGCTCGGCCGCCACGGGCATCTGCTCGCGCACGAAGCGCCAGAACGCGTCCACGTCCATGGGCTTGACGGGCAGCGAGCCTTGGTCGATGAACTGCTTTTGCACCTCGGGATTGCGCAGCGCCGTAGCCAGTGCGCCGTTCAGGCGCTCCAGCGCCGCACGCGGCGTGCCGGCCGGGGCAACCAGGCCGTACCAGGAGTCGGTGTAGAAGCCCTTGACGCCTGCTTCCTCGAACGTTGGCACATCGGGCAGGGCCGGCAGGCGCTGGCGTGAGGCCACGGCCGGGCGCGCAGCTTGCCCGAGCGGATGAAGGGGATGGCGCCCGTGGTGAGCACGAAGGCCACGCGGCCCGCCATCAGGTCGGTCATGGCCGGGGCCGTGCCCTTGTAGGGGATGTGGGTGACATCCACGCCCGTGAGCTGCTTGAAGCTGGCGCCGGCCAGATCTGGCTGGAGCCCACGCCGCCCGAGCCGTAGTTGAGCTGGCCCGGCCTGGCGCGCGCCGCCTCCAGCAGATCGTTGACCGAGCGCAGCGGCGAGGCCACGGGCACCAGCAGCACGCTGGGCGAGGTGGTGATCATGCCGATGGGCGCGAAGTCCTTGAGCGGGTCGTGGTTGAGCTTGGCGTAGAGCGCGGAGTTCAGGCCGTGCGAGGCCACGGTGGCCAGCATGATGGTGTTGCCATCGGGCCTTGCGCGGGCCGCCGCGTCGCTGCCCAGGTTGCCGCCCGCACCGGCCCGGTTGTCGATGGTGATGGGCTGGCCCAGGGCCTCGCTCATGCGCGTGGCCCGCCAGCCGCGCCACGTTGTCGGAGGGGCCGCCCGCAGGCCAGCCCACGATGAGGGTGATGGGGCCTTGCGCCAGGGCCGGCAGGGCCAGGGCGCACAGGGCCAGCGCAGCCAGGCTGCGGCGCGACAGAGGGGTCATAGCAGTCGTCCTTGTCCATTCAAAGGTTTGCATGGCCAGGGCCTTCAGGCTTGCCGTCCTGCCAGGGCATTTCGGTCCAGAGCTTGCGAAAGCCGGCCTCGGTGCGCTCCAGCTCGGCCGCGTAGGCGGGCGGTGCCAGGTAGCGCAGCGGCGCGTACATGCCTCGGCCTGCTGCCTGAACTGCGGGTCGGCCGCGATGGCGGCCACGGCATCGACCAGCTTTTGCGCACGCCTTCGGGAAGCCCTTGGGCGCTGCAGGCCGCGCAGGGAGGCCAGCTCGATATCGATGCCCTGCTCCTTGAACGTAGGCACCTGCGGCGCCAGCGAGCTGCGCGCGGCCGACATCTGGCCCAGCAGGCGGATGGGAGTTCCGCCCTTCTGGTAGGCCAGCACCTCGCCCACGTTGATGGCGCCGATGGTGATCTGCTGGCCCGTGGCGGCGGCGCGCACCTCGCCCGCGCCCTTGTAGGGCACATGGGTGAGCTGCGTGCCGGTGGCCTTGGCGAACAGCAGCATGGCCAGGTGGTCGTCCGAGCCCGTGCCCGTGGTGCCCACGGTCAGGCGCGGGGTTTGGCCCGGGCGTAGGCGGCCAGGCCGGCCAGCGTGGTGATGCGTTGCTGTTGTGGATGGCAAAGCCGCCCGGGTCGTCCACCAGGTTGCCCAGCAGGTCGTACTGGCTCCAGTGGAAGCTGCTCTTGCGCTCGATGGGGATGGTCAGCACGTTGGGCGTGTTGATGAAGCCGATGGTGTAGCCGTCCGGCTTGGCCCGCGCCAGTTCGCCAAAGCCGATGCCGCCGCCCGCGCCGGGCGGTTGAGCACGACCACGCTGCCGCCCAGCTTCTTTTCCAGATGGCGGGCCAGCAGCCGCGCCACCAGGTCGGTGCCGCCGCCGGGCCCGTAGGCCACGATCATCTCGATGTTGCGCGAGGGATAGGGGCCTCGCCCTGAGTCTGGGTCTGAGCCTGGGCCAGGGCCGCAGCGCCATGCAGGCGGCGGCCAGGCCTGCGCACAATGCGCGCCTTGCTTGCTGTGTCATCTTTGTCTCCTGGGTCGCCTCTTGCAGTGGTCTGAGAGGCTTTGTAGTCATGGTGAGGGAAGCGGCTAACGGGACGGGAACGGGACGGGTCAAGCCCGGGCGATGCGCTCGCGCGCATGCGGCCAGACCTCGGGATTGACCAGGCGCGCGGGCCGCTGGCCGTCGGCCAGCAACTGCACGATCTGGGTGGCGGCCAGCTCGGCGTTGTTGCGCGGGCCTCGTGCGTGACACCGGCGGTGTGGAAGGTGGCCACCACCTGGGGCAGGGCCAGCAGCGGATGGGAGGCGGGCGGCGGCTCCTGGTCCCAGACATCGAGCCCGGCGCCGGCCAGGTGGCCGCTGGCCAGGCGGCGTGCAGGGCGGCCTCGTCATGGATACCGCCGCGCGCCGTGCTCACGAAAACGGCGCCCGGCTTCATGGCCGCAAAGGCAGCGGCGTTCATGAGCCCCAGCGTGGAGGCATCGCGCGGGCAGTGCAGGGAGACGATGTCAGCGCGCTGCAGCAGTTCGTCGAAGCCGACGGCCTCGGCCCCGCGCGCCGCCAGGCCGGCTGCGTCGTAGGCCGGGTCGCAGCCGATCACCTGCATGCCGAAGGCCCGGCCCAGGGCCGCGACGCGGCTGCCGGCCTCGCCCACGCCCACCAGGCCCAGGGTGCGGCCGCGCAGCTCGTGGCCCATCACGTCCTCGCGGCTGAAGCCCCGGGCAGGGGCGCGCAGCAGGCGGTCGGATTCGTTGATGCGGCGCAGCACGGACAGCATCAGCCCGATGGCCATCTCAGCCACCGAATCCGCGTTGCCGCCCGACTGGTTCATCACGGCCACGCCGGCGCGCGTGCAGGCCTCGATATCGATGGTGTCGCAGCCCGAGCCGCTGGAGGACACGGCCAGCAGATCGGGGCAGCGCGCCAGCAGGTCCGCCGTGGCGAACC